TAGCCCGCAAGTCCCTTGAGCGGCCATTCATTTGCTTGTCATAACAACCTGCCCCACAGGAGTACTGTATTTAAAGGCGCAGGCATCCACTTTCTGTATGCCCAAATAAATGTCTTCTCAAATCGACTGTATATCTTTTTGTGTTTACATGTTTACGTGGTGATGAATGTATGCTTGTAAATATTCCAATGGGTCACATTATTTTTGCAGTCTTCTGAACATAATTTAATAGAGTTTATCTTTAAAAAAAAAATGTCCTTTGTGCTTGTGGGTATAATTTGCCTGAGAGAAGGCTCTCTTGAGTTCACATCTACTGTGAAGGTCACACTACTTGAATTGCATTCACTAAAATCACTAACGTTTCAGAGGGTTCACATACCTGTTCAATACAAGCTTTTCCGTTTTCACATTTCGTTTCTTTGCTGCTTTCAAAAGTAGGTCATGAGAATTGTAAGGATTTGATCATGTGATCTCACCTATAACATCATAAGCTGTTGCTGTGCGTGACTACCAACAAAAAACAATTTCAGGTTACATCCAAATGTTAGGGGATGTAATGGGGATAATGAGGAAAGAATATATCTCATGAACTGTATCTGACTGCAATGCACCCCCACCTAACATTGATTTTTGATTTGCTGTAGGCCTATTTGACAAACCTAGAGCACTGGGCCGGTTTCCCAAAAGCATCTTAAGAATAGATTGATCGTTAGAACTATAGAATCATATGGTTCTAAGGATGAACTTAGCCTTAGAATGCTTTTGGGAAACCGGGCCCAGAGTAGTGTTTATTTTATAATAGACTAAAGCACACAAATAAGGTGAAATAAGGTGTATTTCCAGTAAGTTATGCGTAATTATTTAATAAAGGCGACATAGGAGACCTAGAAATGAACTCACACTTTTGATTGAATATCACCTGAAAAGTATCTAGGCCTACCTGAAAAGCATGTAACACAGAGCAAAGAAGTGTGTTATAAAACCAGTTGAATTGGTACTGGGTGCATATGCCCCTTTAACCTTAGGGTTGATATTTTAAAGCGTAAATCATAGTCCACAGACATACAGTAGCTACGCAACTCTGCACCATCTGAAGAGGATGCAAAGCCCGAACGTGCGCCCCCCCACAATTCCCAACCAACGCGGCTGCAGTACGCATCCTCTATTCATTTGAATGTGTTGACAGTTGGAGAAATTGCTTGAGCTGTGCTGAAATATTCAGAAAGTATGAAAGCCAACGGTCCAATATTCTAGAACACTACTGTGTGTAGGGGTACACATTTTGGACTATGATAGATGCAGGGAATGGGTGCATTGATTATTTGAGAACCTGTATGAAAGTGTTTCCCAAACTCGGTCCTCCGGACCCCAAAGGGTGCACATTTAATTTATTGCCCTTAAAACTACACAGCTAATTCATATTATCAAAGCTTGATGATTAGTTTATTATTTGAATCAGCTGTGTAGTGCTATAGGAAAAAACAAAACGTGCACCCCTTGGGGTCACAAGGACCGAGTTTGGGAAACCCTGTATGATCTTACAGTAATTCCAAAACTCCAGGCAGCTCTGAGGACATGCATGCTTCACTTTATACATTTATAAATCAAGAGATACAATACAGCATGGATCCATATATAATTGTTTCATTCATATACCAACACAGACACTCAGAAAAGTACTATAGGGAGATGCAAAATGCAAAACAACAACTCTAAAAAGTAAATTACAAAATGTAAGTTAAAACATTGCACATTTCTTCCACATGACCATAAAATGATATTTCAATTTAGAATTTTTTATTATAGTTTATTGTGATAGCATTTTAAAGAAGAACCAACACAGCAAATAACGTGGTGGTGGGGGGGGGGGGGGGGGGTCACAGACACTCCAAGTTTGGCTTTTCCCGCACCCCTCTCACGAGATGTTCACCATAATAACTACTAACAGAACGCACTGCCAAAGAAAGCAAGGCTGTACACACCACTCACACACCTACAGGAAAATGCTGCTCTGCACCGACTCTCCACAGCGGACTGGTTGGAAAACAAAATCCTGAAGAGAAAATATATGTATGCATGCATATATGCAGACTTGTATGTATAAATAGACATAAGCATGTTGTATGTGCATGAAGGTACACATGTTTGCATTTAAGCATGCATGTACTATCTAAATCTGTGTATGTTTATGTATACATTTAGAGCAGTGGTTCTCAATCCTGGTCCTGGTGACCCAAAGGAGTGCACATTATTGTTTTTGCCATAGCACTACACACCGGATTCAAATGATCAACTCATCATCAGGATTGGATGATGAGTCAGGTGTGTAGCGCACAGATAAAAATGTGTACCCCTTTGGGTCCCCAGGACCAGGATTGGGAACCAGTGATTTAGAGTATGCATGTCTGAATGTATGCAATGCGTGTTTGAATGTTATAAAAATTAAGAATGTGTGTCTATGTGCTGTGTATATGTTGTGCATGTATGCATGTATAAGAATATGCAAATGTCTTTACTGGAATGATTCCTTCGCAACCTGATTATGTTTTTCTATTGTTTTTCTGCTGTCCCAATCTTTTAATTAAGGCAAACAGCTGAGATCTCTTTCCAGAGCAGAGGTGATCAAATTCTGGGGTTTGTGGTTATTGAACACAGGTAAACACAACATTTTGGCATTAAAATAGATAGATGCAGAATATTAAGCCAAAGTTTCTATACACAGTCATAGCAGATCTAGGGCAGAGAGATCGCGATGGAGGGGGAAGGCAGATGGCAGGACAAACTAAAAGTAAATTAAGTAAAATACCTTAAAATGGTGCCAAAGCAGGGTTTTTTTTAGCAATACTGTTGCAGTTTCAAGCTCTATTCGTAGTACATTATAGATTTTCCCAGCAAATTCATGAAAGAATTCTAGCTTGGTCAACATACACCAAATCAAGAAAGGCTTACTATAACTATATATATATACACACACACAGAATGTGACTGATAAATACAGAATTAAAACAGCCCTGCTTTCCCCCCCCCCCCTTTCTTCCTTTAACTTCTTCACTTTCGACATGGCCGCTGCTCGACACAACTCTACGTTTCTTTTTCTCTTTTATTTCAAACTTCTGAGTTCACCACACTTTCCCAAAGATTTCTTTCTCCCACATGAAACCGATTAAAATACTAATCGATGACCAACCATGTAGTGTTAGATACAATTTAACTTTATGTCAATAGGGCAATATATATATATATATATATATATATATATATATATATATATATATATATATATATATTCAGGGATGAGGTAAAAAAAAAAAAAAAAAAAGACATGATCCACAACTGGCTCACAGATGTACAGATAGATAAGGTCCCTATCCTAAAGCATTCTGCCTGTTTTGCCACAATAGTAACAGTAAACCCTACCATTCTACATCCCAGACAGGCTTCAATGCTCCGTCCGATACAGGGGGTGCATTTTTGCCCCAGGACCGGGGGTACTTTAACGTGTTTTGCTTGGTATATTTTGACAGACAGTCATCGAGTATACAATTAGACTCTCCGGTGGCAAGGCTGTGGGGAGGGAGGTGTTAAGAAAATGTTAGTGAGCCCGACCAGTCCAGTAGAAACGCGAGGGGCAGGGTGGGTGATTGGGGGAGGGGGGGTATGAGACAGAGGGGTGAAGGGTGTTCAGCAGCATCCCCCTCCAGCCTGTTGGCCCCCCTGGCTACCAGAGAGTGTGGAGTTGGTGGCAGCGTGCTGGGGCCCAATCTTAATGCCGTTAGCCTGCCGAGACAAAACCACAACACAATGCAACCGGTTAGTGGATCCAGGCAGTCAGGAAAATGGAACGTGATGATGGTCAGGTGTGGTTTGACAATTTAGAGTTTGAGTGTTGTTTGTGTTTTTCTGGGGTGGATGAAATGGATATCATAACAAGAAATATCAATGATAATAAGAAATATCAATGGTGACAAATTCTCTTTGGCTCACAGTCACATGCACACTCCTTTGTAAGCATCTCTCCCACACACACACCAGCAAGTGGCACTTTCATCCATCGGCCCACTTTCATCTCCCCAGACCTTCCATGGCTGAAGAGAACACAGAGCAGCTACAAGGTGTCACTCCACTGTGAGCCTGCGCTGCTGTGGCTTTCAGCAGTAGCAGTAGTAGCTCTTAAGGAAACTCTGAATCGTTCTAAATCAGATTTATAGTGTTCAGGGAAGAGGAGGAGGGTGGAGAAGGGAGGAGTGGGAGAAGGGGGGGGGGGGTTCTCACTACGCCTGCCAGCAAGTGCCGGGGATTCTGGCCAGGGCTTCCCCCTTCGTCAGTCAGCTGATGCGGTTTGGACCATGTGCCTGGCCTCACTTTTTCCCCCTCTCCCTCCTTCTTCCCCCCCCTTTACTACTACTCTAACAGAAAGCATACCCAATGGCTGCTCAGGGGCTCGCCTCCTTCACGCTGGCTGTAACCTTGTGGGATGTGAGGAATTTATGCGCTGGCCAGCAGCCAGGGCTAGCGGAGAGAGGGAGGGGAGAAGGGAAAAACGGTGGCACACACGGTGGAAGTTTTGCTTGGCTCGGCAGACTGGAACCTGTTCTGCTTCTTCTCGCCCTCCTTTAGAGGAGAGAGATGGCGTGTGGGCCGCTGCAAATAAGCTGAGGCGGAGGGGCTTCCTCGAAAATATGAATATGGGTGCATCATCTCCTAGAAGCATGTGCCTACGTAACAGCGTAAGCTAACAATGACTTTCTGGCCTTCAAATTGGCCTTTTTCAATAGGACTATATCCCACGTCTGCGCTGTCTAGGTTTTATCCTCATTTACTCCCTCTTCACTCTGTTTATGACGTGGGCTTAGGGCACTACAAAGGGAGCAAGGGTGTTTGACCACTTGGCCATATCGCAGTTGATGACTTAAAACTAAGAAGTCAAGCTATGTCAAGAAGATGGTCTTTGTCAAAGCTGCGGTGTACAAAATGGACACAAAATGTGTTTCTCTCCCATGTCAAATGACCTCATTGTTGATGTCGAAGACACCCTCTTGGATCTTCTCGTAGATCTCCTTCGCTGTGTTGATGAATGCCTGAAAAAAGAGAGAGCCTAATTAGTATAGGATCAGAGCTAAAATCCACACAGCAAAATCTAGACATGACAGTTGTAATAAATTATAAAATCCCCAAGCCTGCAAGATATCAAGCCTTGGACCAATCAAACTATATATATATATATATATATATGGGTCTCGTTGACTGAATAAGCCCTAAAGAGTGGGATCTACAGGAGTTTAGGATGATGTGGCATTAGCTTCTGGCTTGTTGCCATAGAAAATAAATCTACAGCGCTCCGCTGTACAAACAACGCAAGCAGACGTATAAACAGAGCCTTAGTTTTAGCCTTAATTTACAACTCCATGTAGGCCTTATATAATCATTACCTTATGTACACCTCAAAAGCTAGACTAGGGCAGGGCGCCCCTCTACAGTAAATGCTGACTGTAATTCAGCTTTTTACCACGGAGTGAGGACTGCTTTGGAATCTGAAACAAATGTCCACCTCAGTTTAGCTCAGGAAGCCCCGGCCTGGTCTGGTGCCCTCTCTAAGCTCCCTGCCATTTCACACATGAAAATGTTTAACAGCAACAGATGGGTTTCCCTCAGCCTGAGGCAGAGCTCCCCCACCTGGCCATGGAGGCCCAGGGCATAACACAGGGACCCAGCATTAGCCTCAGCACAGAACAGCACATCGCTCTCCATATAGTGCATACCGTAGTACCACAGGGGGTCAATGGAATATAAAGAATGTCCACCCACCATGCCGTCTAAAATTTGAGGCCCGATTGGCTTTCGGCTGTCGCTTAGGACAGGGGAGCAGAAGAGGGGAGGTTATGAATGTGGGTGATATACATGTCACGTCGCAGTGAGGGAGAGGGGGTCGGATGGAGATTGAAGAGGAGAGGTATCGGGAGGATTCAGGGAACACTAATGAGACAAATTAATAATATCAGGGGTTTCAACTGGGGGGATGAGTGGAGGCAGAGTGGGTTTATATAAACCTTAAATCCTCAGAGAGCCTGGCTACCCAACGCACTGAAGAACAGATGTGTTTGTTTGTGCGAGCAAGAGAGGGGGGTATATTAATAGGCGAACGTGTCAGTGTGAGAAAATGATGTTGACAAACAAACAAACGCAAACACACAGCACAGTGTGAGCAGGAGGTACCTCTTCTACGTTGGATGCGGTCTTGGCAGAGGTCTCCATGAAGATGAGGCCGTGCTCTCTGGCGAAGGCCTCTCCCTCCTCCTTCTTCACCTCTCTCCTGGACTCCAGGTCACTATGGGGACAACGCCACACACCTTCAATATTTCACACATATTACCATAGACCTGTGTTACGCTAGTATAGTCTTGTGTGTCGCTGTGTTTTATAGCAAATCTGTAAATTCATTCGGTCATGTTTGCCAGTTAGGAGATATTTCATTAACTAGAGGAGACAAGAGCACACACAGGGAGCAGGGCTGTGAACTGGGTGGGTGAATCTCAATTGTCATAAATGGCTTCCTCACACTTTTTCCCCTTCCTTCATTTGGAAATATATAAAATCGACCTGGTGAAAGCAAAGAACACAATAAAGCGTCCACCATTCAGATTTGACATAACCCACGCTTTCAGATAAGTATGGATGAAGATGAGAAAATGAGGAAAGGATGCCATTTCAGACCTTTGAGGCGCAGCCCCTGTTTAGTAACATGTTTAGTAGCCATGACAACCACGACTCGGTTGTTTGGTAACCATGAGTGACAGGGAGATTAATCTGACCTCTTGTTCCCAATGAGCATGATGACCATGTTGGAGTTGGAATGTTGGCGAGCGTCCTCTAACCAGGTTGTCAAGTGGTTGAAGGTGTCCCTTCTGTAAAACAGAAACAGTCGAGCAACACTGAACATAAGAACAATACATTTTTCTTTCCTAGTAAACTAATGCATAAAAATGTAATTCAATTAGGTGAATGTAGGTCCCTTTTGTAACAACAGTTAACCTACATGAGCAAAATAAGGACATTGGGGCGGGAGACATTTCATTCAATTACATCCAAAATGTATCAATCACAGTGGCTCTAACTATGGTTAAACTGAATGAACTGGATAAGAAATTACATACATACATACATATATATATATATATATATATATATACATACATACATACATACACAGTGAGGGAAAAAGGTATTTGATCCCCTGCTGATTTTGTAGGTTTTCCCACTGACAAATAAATGATCAGTCTATAATTTTAATGGTAGGTTTGTTTGAACATTGAGAGACAGAATAACAACAACAAAATCCATGTAAAAAATGTTATAAATTGATTTGCATTTTAATGAGGGAAATAAGTAGCTCCCAGGTGTCTCTTAAAGGGAGTGCTCCTAATCTCAGCTTGTTACCTGTATAAAAGAAACCTGTCCACAGAAGCAATCAATCAATCAGATTCCAAACTCTCCACCATGGCCAAGACCAAAGAGCTCTCCAAGGATGTCAGGGACAAGATTGTAGACCTACACAAGGCTGGAATGGGCTACAAGACCATCGCCAAGCAGCTTGGTGAGAAAGAGACAACAGTTGGTGCGATTATTCGCAAATGGAAGAAACACAAAATAACTGTCAATCTCCCTCGGCCTGGGGCTCCATGCAAGATCTCACCTCGTGGAGTTGCAATGATCATGAGAATGGTGAGGAATCAGCCCAGAACTACATGGGAGGATCTTGTCAATGATCTCAAGGCAGCTGGGACCATAGTCACCAAGAAAACAATTGGTAACACACTACGCCATGAAGGACTGAAATCCTGCAGCGCACGCAAGGTCCCCCTGCTCAAGAAAGCACATATACAGGGCCGTCTAAAGTTTGCCAATGAACATCTGAATGATTCAGAGGAGAACTGGGCGAAAGTGTTGTGGTCAGATGAGACCAAAATCGAGCTCTTTGGCATCAACTCAACTCACCGTGTTTGGAGGAGGAGGAATGATGCCTATGACCCCAAGAACACCATCCCCACCGTCAAACATGGAGGTGGAAACATTATGCTTTGGGGGTGTTTTTCTGCTAAGGGGACAGGACAACTTCACCGCATCAAAGGGATGATGGACGGGGCCATGTACCGTCAAATCTTGGGTGAGAACCTCCTTCCCTCAGCCAGGTCATTGAAAATGGGTCCTGGATGGGTATTCCAGCATGACAATGACCCAAAACACATGGCCAAGGCAACAAAGGACTGGCTCAAGAATAAGCACATTAAGGTCCTGGAGTGGCCTAGCCAGTCTCCAGACCTTAATCCCATAGAAAATATGTGGAGGGAGCTGAAGGTTCGAGTTGCCAAACGTCAGGCTCAAAACCTTAATGACTTGGAGAAGATCTGCAAAGAGGAGTGGGACAAAATCCCTCCTGAGATGTTTGCAAACCTGGTGGCCAACTACAAGAAACGTCTGACCTCTGATTGCCAACAAGGATTTTGCCACCAAGTACTAAGTCATGTTTTGCAGAGGGGTCAAATACTTATTTCCCTCATTAAAATGCAAATCAATTTATAACATTTTTGACGTACGTTTTAGTGGATTTTTTTGTTATTCTGTCTCTCACTGTTCAAATAAACCTACCATTAAAATTATAGACTGATAATTTCTTTGTCAGTGGGCAAACGTACAAAATCAGCAGGGGATCAAATACTTTTTTCCCCTCACTGTGTGTGTGTGTGTGTGTGTGTGTGTGTATATATATATATACACACACACACACACACACACAGTGGGGAGAACAAGTATTTGATACACTGCCGATTTTGCAGGTTTTCTACTTACAAAGCATGTAGAGGTCTGTAATTTTTATCATAGGTACAAAAATCCAGAAAATCACAATGTATGATTTTTAAGTAATTAATTTGCATTTTATTGCATGACATAAGTATTTGATCACCTACCAACCAGTAAGAATTTCGGCTCTCACAGACCTGTTAGTTTTTCTTTAAGAAGCCCTCCTGTTCTCCACTCATTACCTGTATTAACTGCACCTGTTTGAACTCGTTACCTGTATAAAAGACACCTGTCCACACACTCAATCAAACAGACTCCAACCTCTCCACAATGGCCAAGACCAGAGAGCTGTGTAAGGACATCAGGGATAAAATTGTAGACCTGCACAAGGCTGGGATGGGCTTCAGGACAATAGGCAAGCAGCTTGGTGAGAAGGCAACAACTGTTGGCACAATTATTTAAAAAATGGAAGAAGTTCAAGATGACGGTCAATCACCCTCGGTCTGGGGCTCCATGCAAGATCTCACCTCGTGGGGCATCAATGATCATGAGGAAGGTGAGGGATCAGCCCAGAACTACACGGCAGGACCTGGTCAATGACCTGAAGAGAGCTGGGACCACAGTCTCAAAGAAAACCATTAGTAACACACTATGCTGTCATGGATTAAAATCCTCCAGCGCACGCAAGGTCCCCCTGCTCAAGCCAGCGCATGTCCAGGCCCATCTGAAGTTTGCCAATGACCATCTGGATGATCCAGAGGAGGAATGGGAGAAGGTCATGTGGTCTGATGAGACAAAAATAGAGCTTTTTGGTCTAAACTCCACTCGCCGTGTTTGGAGGAAGAAGAAGGATGAGTACAACCCCAAGAACACCATCCCAACCGTGAAGCATAGAGGTGGAAATATCATTCTTTGGGGATGCTTTTCTGCAAAGGGGACAGGACGACTGCACCGTATTGAGGGGAGGATGGATGGGGCCATGTATCGCGAGATCTTGGCCAACAACCTCCTTCCCTCAGTAAGAGCATTGAAGATGGGTCGTGGCTGGGTCTTCCAGCATGACAACGACCCGAAACACACAGCCAGGGCAACTAAGGAGTGGCTCCGTAAGAAGCATCTCAAGGTCCTGGAATGGCCTAGCCAGTCTCCAGACCTGAACCCAATAGAACATCTTTGGAGGGAGCTGAAAGTCCGTATTGCCCAGCGACAGCCCCGAAACCTGAAGGATCTGGAGAAGATCTGTATGGAGGAGTGGGCCAAAATCCCTGCTGCAGTGTGTGCAAACCTGGTCAAGACCTACAGGAAACGTATGATCTCTGTAATTGCAAACAAAGGTTTCTGTACCAAATATTAAGTTCTGCTTTTCTGATGTATCAAATACTTATGTCATGCAATAAAATGCAAATTAATTACTTAAAAATCATACAATGTGATTTTCTGGATTTTTGTTTTAGATTCCGTCTCTCGCAGTTGAAGTGTACCTATGATAAAAATTACAGACCTCTACATGCTTTGTAAGTAGGAAAACCTGCAAAATTGGCAGTGTATCAAATACTTGTTCTCCCCACTGTATATATATATATACATACATACATACATACATACATACATACACACACACACACACACACACACACACACACACACAGTGGGGGAAAAAAGTATTTAGTCAGCCACCAATTGTGCAAGTTCTCCCACTTAAAAAGATGAGAGGCCTGTAATTTTCATCATAGGTACACGTCTACTATGACAGACAAAATTAGAAAAAAAATCCAGAAAATCACATTGTAGGATTTTTTATGAATTTATTTGCAAATTATGGTGGAAAATAAGTATTTGGTCAATAACAAAAGTTTCTTGATAGTTTGTTATATACCCTTTGTTGGCAATGACACAAGTCAAACGTTTTCTGTAAGTCTTTACAAGGTTTTCACACACGGTTGCTGGTATTTTGGCCCATTCCTCCATGCAGATCTCCTCTAGAGCAGTAATGTTTTGGGGCTGTCGCTGGGCAACACAGACTTTCAACTCCCTCCAAATATTTTCTATGGGGTTGAGATCTGGAGACTGGCTAGGCCACTCCAGGACCTTGAAATGCTTCTCACGAAGCCACTCCTTCGTTGCCCGGGCGGTGTGTTTGGGATCATTGTCATGCTGAAAGACCCAGCCACGTTTCATCTTCAATGCCCTTGCTGATGGAAGGAGGTTTTCACTCAAAATCTCACGATACATGGCCCCATTCATTCTTTCCTTTACATGGATCAGTCGTCCTGGTCCCTTTGCAGAAAAACAGCGCCAAAGCATGATGTTTCCACCCCCATGCTTCACAGTAGGTATGGTGTTCTTTGGATGCAACTCGGCATTCTTTGTCCTCCAAACACGACGAGTTGAGTTTTTACCAAAAAGTTCTATTTTGGTTTCATCTGACCATATGACATTCTCCCAATCCTCTTCTGGATCATCCAAATGCACTCTAGCAAACTTCAGACGGGCCTGGACATGTACTGGCTTAAGCAGGGGGACACGTCTGGCACTGCAGGATTTGAGTCCCTGGCGGCGTAGTGTGTAACTGATGGTAGGCTTTGTTACTTTGGTCCCAGCTCTCTTCAGGTCATTCACTAGGTCCCCCCGTGTGGTTCTGGGATTTTTGCTCACCGTTCTTGTGATCATTTTGACCCCACGGGGTGAGATCTTGCGTGGAGCCCCAGATCGAGGGAGATTATCATTATGCTTGTTTGTAGGTGACCAAATACTTATTTTCCACCATAATTTGCAAATAAATTCATTAACAATCCTACAATGTGATTTTCTGGAGAGAAAAAAATCTCAATTTGTCTGTCATAGTTGACATGTACCTATGATGAAAATTACAGGCCTCTCTCATCTTTTTAAGTGGGAGAACATACACAATTGGTGGCTGACTAAATAGTTTTTTTCCCCCACTGTATGTATGTATGTATGTATGTATGTATGTATGTATGTATGTATGTATGTATGTATGTATGTATGTATGTATGTATGTATGTATGTATGTATGTATATATATATATATATATATATATATATATATATATATATATATATATACACACACGTGTGAATGTGTATATACAGTGGGGAGAACAAGTATTTGATACACTGCCGATTTTGCAGGTTTTCCTACGTACAAAGCATGTAGAGGTCTGTAATTTGTATCATAGGTACACTTCAACTGTGATCCAAAAAATCACATTGTATGATTTTTAAGTAATTAATTTGCATTTTATTGCATGACATAAGTATTTGATACATCAGAAAAGCATAACTTAATATTTGGTACAGAAACCGGTTTGCAATTACAGAGATCATACGTTTCCTGTAGGTCTTGACCAGGTTTGCACACACTGCAGCAGGGATTTTGGCCCACTCCTCCATACAGACCTTCTCCAGATCCTTCAGGTTTCGGGGCTGTCGCTGGGCAATACGGACGTTCAGCTCCAAAGATTTTCTATTGGGTTCATGTCTGGAGACTGGCTAGGCCACTCCAGGACCTTGAGATGCTTCTTACGGAGCCACTCCTTAGTTGCCCTGGCTGTGTGTTTCGGGTCATTGTCATGCTGGAAGACCCAGCCACGACCCATCTTCAATGCTCTTACTGAAGGAAGGAGGTTGTTGGCCAAGATCTCGCGATACATGGCCCCATCCATCCTCCCCTCAATATGGTGCAGTCGTCCTGTCCCCTTTGCAGAAAAGCATCCCCAAAGAATGATATTTCCACCTTCATGCTTCACGGTTGGGATGGTGTTCTTGGGGTTGTACTCATCCTTCTCCTTCCTCCAAACACGGCGAGTGGAGTTTAGACCAAAAAGCTCTATTTTTGTCTCATCAGACCACATGACCTTCTCCCATTCCTCCTCTGGATCATCCAGATGGTCATTGGCAAACTTCAGACGGGCCTGGACATGCGCTGGCTTGAGCAGGGGGACCTTGCGTGCGCTGCAGGATTTTAATCCATGACGGCGTAGTGTGTTACTAATGGTTTTCTTTGAGACTGTGGTCCCAGCTCTCTTCAGGTCATTGACCAGGTCCTGCCGTGTAGTTCTGGGCTGATCCCTCACCTTCCTCATGATCATTGATGCCCCACGAGGTGAGATCTTGCATGGAGCCCCAGACCGAGGGTGATTGACCGTCATCTTGAACTTCTTCCATTTTCTAATAATTGCGCCAACAGTTGTTGCCTTCTCACCAAGCTGCTTGCCTATTGTCCTGTAGCCCATCCCAGCCTTGTGCAGGTCTACAATTTTATCCCTGATGTCCTTACACAGCTCTCTGGTCTTGGCCATTGTGGAGAGGTTGGAGTCTGTTTGATTGAGTGTGTGGACAGGTGTCTTTTATACAGGTAACAAGTTCAAACAGGTGCAGTTAATACAGGTAATGAGTGGAGAACAGGAGGGCTTCTTAAAGAAAAACTAACAGGTCTGTGAGAGCCGGAATTCTTACTGGTTGGTAGGTGATCAAATACTTATGTCATGCAATAAAATGCAAATTAATTACTTAAAAATCATACAATGTGATTTTCTGGATTTTTGTTTTAGATTCCGTCTCTCACAGTTGAAGTGTACCTATGATACAAATTACAGACCTCTACATATATATCATCTATCTATCTATATATACATACACACACACACACACACACACACACACACACACAAACACACACTCATTAGTATTTTTTACATTTGTCAAGAGCAACAGTCATGTCCGAAATCCTAGGGTAGACTCAGTGGCCAAAGTCTTTACATAGATAAGGCCTGGGGTGAAAATGGCCGCCAGACTGACCTTGTGATGTCATACACTAGCAGGGCGCCGGCTGCCCCTCTGTAGTAGGACCGGGTGATGGAGCGGAAGGACTCTTGGCCGGCCTGAACACACACACACACAATTAGTGCCAAAGACAAACAGACATAGTACACACACACACGGATGCTCGGTTAAAGCAAAGACAATGTTCAGCACAGAAGCATAGTAACCCATAAATAAAGGGTACAAACAAGAGCCAGCAGTACTACAAAACAGTAGTAGTAAGCTGAATAAAGCAACAACTCTTAAAGGAGTCTTACTTCAAGTGCTCAAGGGTGTGTTGGGACATAGACAAAATGCTGTTCATACCAACACGGTGTCTAATGTACTGTGTTACTAGGGTCAGAGGTTCTTCTGAGCCCATGTCCTGAAAAACTTCTGGCCCTAGCAATGTTTTACTCATGCATGTCCTGCCTAATGCCTACTACACTCCTCCAGTCCAGGCTTCCCAGCGCCTTTCCCTAATCCATACACATTCCCAACGCCATAGACATTCCTAACCAGGGAGCCAAGCATCCTGATTTTCCCTGTGCAGAGAGGCAGAGCACAGGCAAGCCCCTGTCACTGTGTACAAAAGGCTCCTCTCTTTCTCTGCATCCCCGACTGACTATCTGAGTCCTCATAAACAAGGGGCCCACTGTGTTCCACTACAGCCCACAATACAACATTCTACCTCTCTGGCCAATCACAACTCCCCGTTCTCTCCCCACACTCAGTGTTGGGTTTATACAGCAGGCAGGCAGACCAGACCTGTCGATAGATGCCATTGTCAGCAGGTTATAAGATGGCTTCCCTGTTCCCCGGCTAGCGGCTGTTGCACCTTGGCCTACTCTACTCTGTTCTACCTCTATTCTGGCCTGGCAGCAGGTGAGTGAGAGCCAGGCAGCCCAGCACTGCTGCACATTTGAATTCAATAAGGCCCAGTCAGTGAGAACTGTCCCCCCGAGGCAGCTGCTAACGTTGGAGCTAATGGAGGCCATTGTGAATAAATGATGAATGACACTTTTATGCCTGCCATCTGCCAGAGCTCAAAGGTTACAGGAAGGCCAGAAATGCAGATTTTGGCTATTACATCACTCCCAGGGCAGGCAGTACCTCCCGTCTCCTCCTCCTGTGCTCACACGCATGCAGGAACACACACTGATACAGCTACACAGGCGGTACACACGCCCTGTGTTCGATTTTGGCAGGGTGGACATGTGGTGGTCTGGGGATGTAAGCTAAACCACATATCATTCTAATAGAGGGTATATTCATAGTGGTGTGTTGAAAATATAAAAAAAGTGAAATTGTCACTTCTCAAAATGCCAGCAAGATTACCAAAGTGCCCAATCAAAGGTTGCCATTCTTATCCCTCTTGGCATCCATTTCTGCTGAATTCCAGCCTTACCTTTTCATCAACCAAAATGCACCTGTGTTGCCATGTGGCCTAGTAAGCACACAGCAGCTGGCTCTGTCTGAAGGCCAAAAGGCCTATAGGGCCTCTACTCGCACCATCCATCACAATTACTGCTGAGGGATTATATTCTTATTTATAGAACTGTGTCTCCCCCTACAGGCCAATATACATACTACATGAACACCAAGATCATCTCCTGTAGTGTTCATATTTTGTCAGCACAGTCAGCAGGGCACTATAAAATCCACGTTGCGTAGAAAGTGGACGGAATCATGGAATCCAAACTTTTCAACGGAATTCAACAACATTCAAAAATATATTTAACTTAGTAGGAAATCAACTAAATGTATTGAACGTATTAGAAATTAATACATTTGCCCAAGTTAATCATAAGACATGAACAAACTGCATCAGTGATTTGTATTTTCCTGCAACTTTCTGAAACAGCACAGGAATGCCTCTGTGTGTGTACGGTGCGCGCGTATGCCTACACTTTATGTAGCCGTTAGCGATAATGCGAATGATAAACTTATTCTGGTAGATATGGAAAGGCTTTCCCAAAAAACATTTTCAATTAAATATTAACTACAAAGTAGCCTATGCCTACCTGGCAGAATGCTATCATGATCATTTGCATTAATCCAGTTAGTCGTCATGCATGTTATTTATCACACGCGCACAGCATACAGAGCCTAGTTTGAGGAGTGGAATAGCCTATCAAATCAAAATCAAATTTTATTCGTCACATGCTTCGTAAACAACAGGTGTAGACTAGCAGTGAAACGCTTACTTACTGGCCTCTCTCAACAATGCAGAGAAAGAAAAGACAATAATAGAAAAGTAATACTTAATAATAAAAGTAATTTAAAAAACACAATAAGTAACAATAACTTGACTGTATACACGGGGTACCATTACCGAGTCGATGTGCAGGGGTACAAGGTAATTGAGATAGGTATGTACATATAACTAGGAATAACGTGACTAGGCAACAGGATAGATAATAAACAGTAGCAGCAACATATGTGACGAGTCAAAAAAAGTTTGTGCAAAAAGGATCGATTCAGATAGTTAAATAGTTAACCAATAGCTACCCGGACTAACTATTTAGCAGTCTTATGGCTTGGGGGTAGAAGCTGTTCAGGGTCCTGTTGGTTTCCAGACTCATGGGCGGCGCACAATTGGCCCAGCGTCGTCCAGGGTAGGGGAGGGAATGGCCGGCAGGGATGTAGCTCAGTTGATAGAGCATGGCGTTTGTAACGCCAGGGTTGTGGGTTCGATTCCCACGGGGGGCCAGTATAAAAAAAATATATATATATAATAAATAAATAAATAAATAAACCTATGTATTCACTAACTGTAAGTCGCTCTGGATAAGAGCGTCAGCTAAATGACAAATGTAAATGTAAAATGTACTGGGCCATACTCACTACCCTCTGCAGCACCTTACGGTCAGATGGCAAGTAGTTGCCATACCAAGCAGTGATGCAGCCAGTCAAATGGTGCAGCTGTATAACTTTTTGAGGATCTGAGGGCCCATACCAAATCTTTTCAGCTCCTGAGGGGGAAGAGTCATTGTCGTGCCCTCTTCATGACTGTGTTGGTGTGTGTGGACCATGATAGATACTAAGTGATGTGGACACCAAGGAATTTGAAGACCTCGACCCGCTCCACTACAGCCCTGTTGATGTGAATGGGGGCGTGCTCGTCCCTCCTTTTCCTGTAGTCCACGATCAGCTCCTTGCTGACATTGAGGGAGAGGTTGTTGTCTCTGGCCTTATCCCTATAGGCTGTCTCATCGTCGTCGGTGAACAGGCCTACCACCGTCGTGTCGTCAGCAAACTTAATGATGGTGTTGGAGTCGTGCGTGGCCACGCAGTTGTGGGTGAACAGTGAGTACAGGAGGGGACTAAGCACGCACCCCTGAGAGGCCCCTGTGTTGAGGGTCAGCGTGGCGGATGCGTTGTTGCCTACCCACACCATCTGGGGGCTGTCCGTCTGGAAGTCCAGGATCCAGTTGCAGAGGGAGGTTTTCAGACCCAGGGTCCTTGGAAGACACTACAGTGTTGAACACTGAGCTGTATCACCCATCACCTGTCAGACAGCACTAGAGTAGCTCCTCAAAAAGCTGGTACTGGAGTGAAACGTGATTTTGTAAGCCCAGTCATTGCACAACTAATAACAGTTCTAAAATGCAATTGCGTGTTAAACTGCTTTGATGGCCACGATTAAAAATAGCTACTTTTTTAATTTCTCAATCTCAACTGGTAATTAAAGGGCGCTTCCCATTCGCCATTTGAGTACATAGGCTATAGTCAACGGTATGCAGGCTATCAGCGCGTCACTCACCTCTTTGCAATGTGAGCTTGAGGCAGTATAATTGTCTGAAAGCTGAACGTTTTACTTTACTTCAAATAATGAGGCATGTCTTACCTTGCTTCAAAGTAGCCTAGCCGAAATCCAACCATAGAAACGTAGCGGCAATTATTTTATGATGACTTCCTCATGACATTAAACCAGCATTTCTCTCCTGTTTTATTGGTTTTACATCAACTTTCTTTCGTTGTCCAGAAGCCAAAGGCACAATCCTAGTCGTTATTAGATTCCCCCTCTTTCTAACAGAGATTTTCATTATGGAACCACTCGCATTATGTGTACTGTTTAGAACAGTGTTTTCCTGTAAATTGCATTTTGGCAAATGTTTGAAAATGACGTTTTATTAGCTGCTTCATTACAGGAGTTACATGTTCAATAATAGGCTATATAGCCTTTTGACTAAGACGATAGGCTTGCTATTGTTGCATGTCTCCATTACGCTCTTAATGAAAAATGTCCGTTCCTTGTAGGCATGCATAGTACTGTATTTTCTGTTGGTCACAGTTTGGAAAGAACGTAACTGTTTGTTGACTGGTTAATGAGGGTCGGTTAGTCGGCAGCAAAAAATTATTCAAAACAGAAAACTTCTCACAAGGACAAAGCTGAGAGACTATTTGAGAAGAGTGTGAGATGCGAATTGACAATGCTGTTGTGTAGGGCTCTGTCATTCTTCTCTTTACAAGGCAAGCAACATGTCCATGGTGATACACATGCTGAACAAAAGAAAACCGATTTTGCTCAGGTGTACAAGATTCCAATGACTCCAAGATTTAATACGAATTTCAAGGAAATATGGCATATTAGACTTTCATCTGGGTTTGCTGGGCTATATTGGGTGAATTACACATTACTGTGAGCGGGTGCCATCACATGTTAGGAATGTAATGAACGCTACATCAAAAATCTTCTTATCACTGATGGTAAGATACAGATGTACCAAAGAATATTCAGAGAAATTCATGATTACAGTCAACCCCTGATAACTGCACTTGAGATAGGCCAAGTATAAACTGTTTAATTGGGACAATAAACCTGTATCACTTCAACAGTACATTGACTACATTTCTTTATGATTGAACTGCATGCAGTAGTTGATAACTTAACTGATGAGAACTGTCCCACACTGCTCCATGTATCAGGAGTCAACTATATCATGTGTTCACGTAAAGAATCACATCTGTTCATGTGCAACAGGGCAGGTATCTTACCGTGTCCCAGATCTGCAGCTTGATCTGTTTACCATCTATAGTGATCATCCGCGCCCCAAACTCCACACCTGGGAAAGACACACCCACCACCAGGACACAGTCAGTCTACAACTCACTTGCATGAAAACAGAATCCTTGGGACGTCCATACCCTAAACCCTAACCTTAGCATTTTAAAATGTCAACTTCAATGACTCTGGTAAGAGTGTAACCTGGTCAGGTCATGCGGTAAGGAAAAAACCTTAGTGCTAATCATGAGACTTAATCTTAAACCCCAAACTAACTTTAACCACTAGCCTTATTAACCATAACCCACTAAACCTAACCACCTAGACCAGGGTTTCCCAAACTTAAAAGTAAAAAGGACAAGTGGCTAAAAAAGTTAATGTCAAGCCCTGGACGAGGGGATCTGAGCGGAGCGCTGAGACCATTTAACTGAGGTCCCTCCAGTGGAGCTAGGCAGTGCAGAAGCAGGATGCATTTCAATCACAGTCGTCCTTAAAACGTTATAATGAATATAGAGGAGCCTTACCGATAGTGAGGTCGTGCACCGGCTGAAACCGCTTGTCTGTGAACTGTAATAATAGGCATGATTTCCCCACACCTGCAAAACAAACAACATGCACAGTTAAACAGAGGAACACATAGGCACTCTGTCTGCATGACTAACATGATTTAGCCAGTTACACACACTTTATAAAACCAACAATGCATCTGGTCTCACACACACACATTAAAGAAGTTGAATGTCAGTCTTTGATATGATGTGTCAGAGAACAGCAAATTACATAAGGAGGTCAATTTAATGAGAGAAAAATGTCAGACTGTATCAGGCCCTACAGCCCTCTGACTACACTCACACACACAATGTTAAAGAAGCTCATAGTCAGTCCTGCTGAAGCAAGAGGCTTCTGGCAAGTAGCTGGTCAAACAAGTAGAATTCTGGTTGTCATGCATTTCTGGAGTAGGTAGAGGATGCTTTAAAACACATTCAGGGTCAGATATTGTTTCATCCCCTCAATGGTTCTGATTGGGAGTGGGATAGTGTTATCCGATCCTAGACCAGTGGTTAAGAAGAGCCATTTCTTCCTCAAGCTTGTTTCTTCAGGAGGACCTGTGTTCGAGGCCCTGTCAACATGATGATGAAACTGATGACAGGGATGGACATTTTATCAATAATGTCAACCCACAAATGTCATGACTCATGAAGTTGTTTGGTGTGATGAAACAAAGATATTCCTAGGTAGCACTAACCATAATGAATGCAATAATTAGCCCAATGCGGCTAACTCAATTTATTGCATTTTCAATAAAGTAGACTCAGGCCTAAATATAATGTGTGATGTGCGCCTGTGTGAGAAAGAAAATCATAAAACGTGACAGTGAAACACACTGCCATACCGTTGAGGGACCTGTGAAAAGGTGTGCCGCACTGCATGGTTATAATGCAAACAGGTGAAACCTTTAGCACACCAGAGAAGGCTATCATTAGCGTTTCTATGGGTTACCACCACTGTTGCTAGGCAGGGGAGCCGGGGTGATAGAAGACATCACGAGAAGGATGTACCGAAACAACAAAGCTATGTCACCATTTTAACCGTGCACCTGCTAGCCAATCAGCCTCTAGCGCTGAATAGAGAGTGCATCTGGTTCTTTAGTGGTCAGGTCATTATCGTTAAAGCAACAGTAGTACCGCTGGATCAATTAGACAGGGCTGCCAAATCAAAGATTAGCCTAACCAACCTGTAGGCTAATTACACCCCCCCCATCACTAATTGAAATACTGCATTTGATTGGGCAGGAAGAGATGTACAACTGGATTTTGATCCAGGTGAAAACTTAGGTTTATGGTATGGAGGCTGAGAAAAACATCCTTTTGGATAGGGGTTTCTCAACCATCACCTCATCTAGCCAAGTTAACAACCACAGCGTAGGCTATATCTAACTGCTCAAACAGCTGGGATAGCCATACCGAAACTGCAAAGTCATGTAGAATGTGAGTGAGTAATACGAAAACACTGAATGATCAACAGCTTGGGTTGCAGGGGGTCACATGATGGCCCCCAGTGAAGCCAGGGGGATGACAGGTCTGTGGTGTTGCAACTATGGCTGTGACGATACCGGTATCGCAAAAAATGTGCCATGGCAAAAATGAAAACACAAAGCAGACCAAACTCTTTGGTCCTTTAAAAACCTACCGTATGTAAAATATTGTGTGCTATAGTTTGGAAAATAAAATGTGACTCTGGATAACAACATAATGATGTTTGTTTCCAACATTAGGGCTGGTTCTCTTAAATAAGTGTAATCCCTTTGTGTTTTCTTTCCTTGCCATGATACTAACGAGTATCGCGATACTGGTATCATCCCGACCCTACTAATTACACAAATAAAACAAGGGGGAAAACTCTGCTGGATATAGCCTGGGAAAAAATGCACAGAGATGTGTACTCCCAAATGCTGACCACTGAGTTTTGGGTTGGTAATGATGCCTCCAGTTTTGAAACAAGCATCATATGACATGCTGTCCTGTAAGCAAATAGTCTGGTTCAAGTAAAATTCTGCCCTTTCATCTCAGAGAAATGGAGGGGCGTGTGCTGCTAAATCTGTTATTGGCCTTCCTGTAAGCAGGGTACACTTCCCTTCACTGATACTTTTAAACAGAGTAAACCACAGTAATTTGTTACTTTTAAAGGCAGCATGTACCCTTTGAATGTACAAGCCTTATTGATCCATTACTAAACTAACGTGATGAAGTCTTAGCATCGCAACACTGCCCCTGTGGAATTTGAGATACCAACCAGGTACATTTGTTTATTTCTCAGCATCATCAAACACTGTCAATCTGTAGTCCGATAGATAGATTACCTATCTCAGTATCACTCGTTTGCCCTGGGTAAAATGCATAGCTAGGTACAATGTGGTGCTGCTATTAGGCTATTTCAACAAGGATCCGGGTTGAGCAATAGATGTATAACACAGATCTAATCAAATAAGATGATGAAGCACATAGTTCTACTGTTTTTGATAAACAAGTCCCTCCTGTCGACTGTTTCTAAAGCAACCTGCAATAAATTATCGGGACAAAAATATAGGTTGGCTTTGACAGCATCCATAATATTTATTTGGTTAACATACTCGGTCCGCATCGTCTAGGTAAACAAATGACAGTAAACTGCTTAACTTCATTAACATAACAGTGATAACACCCGTGTAAAAGTACATTATGTCAGGTTAACAACACGCGTATGAACGCCTAGACAGTTAAACTGGAATGCTGCCGTAGTATGCAACCGTACAAAAAAAAGTATGTAAAACGCCATTTCGAGAGAGGGAGCTTGATGCTTGTGGCCTTGGTGGTGGCTAGCAATACAAGTTCGCAAAAAAACAGACAGCCCGAAACCTTGGCTTGACTGTGTCCAAGGGACTGACATAGTCAGTGCAAGCACCCCTGTTGTAGAGGGGCTGTCAAACTAGCTGTTGTTTATGTCGCTGTAAACATCTAGTTTACCTACGTTAGCCGATTAGCTAACAAGCTAACGTTAGGTAGCAAAGCTAGCTAGTTAGCTTAGCACCCCCACCCTCAGTGCACAGCGGAAAGACAATAGGCAATCGGCTTGTTGTCAACAGTTGCTAAATTAACACGCTAGCTGACCACAACACCATGCGATGTGAGGTGGCAATTTTGGGGGGATTATTTCACGTTAATGACATGCTATTAACGACGTTAGAAAGCGAGAAATCTGTCTGTCGTCCCACCTCTTGCGTCTCTGCTTTTACCACGTCACATTGGACTCTCCAACACTGCGGAAATAAAAGATAGCTGCTAGCTAGCTGTCGTTAGCAATATTTGCTGCCAGTAACTGCTTACCCGTGTCTCCGATAATGATGTATTTGAAAAGGTATGCATATGCCATGGCCACTGGGTCCTGTGTCAACCTTCCTCGGCCGTTGTGCTATATATCCGCAACTTGAAACCGTATGAAAATGGTCTATGTAAACGTCTCGGTAATCGTTAGAGCTTCGCCTTTCTACGCTAGCCTCCTTTCTCTCTTGGAAGGGAAGGAACAATAAGCACCTCCAAGCTTCGGCTGACAACGTCATACGTTCGGCCCTCGCCACGCACGCTAAAAGCGATTATTCACCCCAGTTGCCACTAGTAGTAGGCTATTCATTTATATTATGTCACTTAGACTCTTTAAAAATATATATCAATCTGATTAACTAAACAATTTGAAAGACATGTAATTAATTTGCACATGGTATAGGCTAGCTGTTTAGACCTGCACAATCTGATGTAGGCCTAGTAGTCGTTAAAAAGGGTCCCCCTTAACGCATTCCATTCTCTCCCATGGAGCACCTGTCAATCCATTTGTTTTCATTATTTGATAGTTGCTTGCAGATTCTTTAACCCCTTATGACATGTCAGTATGAATTTTATTGGGAGAAGGATCAGTGAAAGACACTCAAAAGGAGTGCATGATATGTCCACCACAAGGTAAGTTATTTTCTCTTTACAGTTTTTGCCTATTGCTTACACATTTTTTTGCAGAATTTGGCTCATAATGTCAAAACTCAACACACAAGCCAATCAGACATAGCACTTGGAGATTAACAACTCACATATATGCCAAAAAGAAACACTGCAATCAAAACTTAACACTCCTTTCTAAAAATGAAATTCTTGCAACAAAACCATACACACAAGCAACATTTGAATTACTCTTTCATATCACCAGCAACACACTGATGGGCTTTATATAAAACACTGCAGTCTTTGTGTTTCTATTTTTATTGTCATTTTATTGTCATTTTCTTCTGTAAAACTCAAAAGTAGAATTTCTGCATTAATCAAACAGTATTTACAAAAAAGTTTTTACAAAAAAACAAACATTCTTACAGAAATTCTTAACATCAAATTTAGCAACAAAACCAAAGTAAAAAAACAAAACAATTACTGGATAAATTGCTATTGGGGGAAAAAACATATACTTGTTTTGTGTGTGTGTGCGCGTGTGTGTGTGCGTGTGTGTGGTGGGGAGGCTTATGGATCACGCCTTCTGTTCGGATCTGGCCACAAGACCTCGTCAACATCACACGCGATGTCCTCGCGGGCTAGGCATCGGGGAAAATATCGCCTTGTGTGCCGAATCCACCCTTGGATTGATTCCACCTCAATGTCTCCACATGCCTCTTCCATTGCTTGCAGAAGAGTCATGCGGGCATGTGGTTGCCGATCATATACTTTCCACCGCCACGCTGAAAATAATTCCTCGATTGCATTTAGAAAGGGGCTGTAAGGGGGCAGGTATAAAACTGTGAAATGATTATGGTTGTTGAACCAATCTCGGACCAGAGCAGCCCGGTGGAAACTAACATTATCCCAGATGACAACAAACCTGGGCTGCTGTGGTCTGTCCTGCACAACTGCATGTAGTGCATCTAGAAATGCAATGATCTGTCCTGTATTGTAAGAACCTAGAGTGGCATGATGATGCAGGACTCCTTGGACACTAATTGCAGCACATATATGATATGTTCCCTCTGTAAATTGTATATCCTCACGGTAAATCAGCTTTACTCTAGAGTTTTATGTTTACTGTATTTGTGTTGTATATCCTGTATGTTGACTATATGTTGGCTTTGTGTCTGTATTCTGTTTGTAGATTGTCTATTGCTGGCAGCACCTATTCACTAAGTCAAATGCCGGGTATGTGTAAATGTACTTGGCAAATAAAGTTATTCTGATTCTGATTCAAGCTATCACAACTAATCCTTACACTCTCAAAATAGCAATTGTATTACTCATAGGATGAGGCTTAAAGGACCTTTTCTCCTGGAATAAAAATCTACATGTGGAGTATTCACTCCACCATACGTTGGTCACACCATGGGGATGATGGGAGGTGGTGGTGGAGGATTGATTCCATTCCTTTGTGCAGGGATGCTGGCTGTTCAGAGGATATTTTCCCTCTGTGCAGGGATGAGGCCTGATGTTTGGAGGATCCCCTCTGTGTATGGATACGAGCTGTTGGGAGGATCCCCTCCCTCTGCCAGTAATGTTGCCGGCTGGGAGGATCCCCTCCCACTGTGCATGTATGCAGGCTGTTGGGAGGATCCCCTCTCTGTGCATTGAGAATGCCTGTTGGGAGGATGCCCTCCCTCTGCGCTTGGGGAATCATTCCCAGGTGCTGCAGGCATGTCAGAGAGGCTCTTTCCAGTGCTGGTGGAGTATACGACATATACGGTCATTCTAGAAAAATAACTTGCGATCTATAACATCATTGATACAGATGTAGTATCTTAATTTGATCACCCAGTTGCAGGACCCAGGACATTTAGAACTTGTATTTGAGGTGAAGTTTGTAATTTCCACTGAAATTTCAGACTTGATTTTCCCTTACGAAAATGTCCATTAATTATATTCCACATAATAATTAACATTTCCTGTTGCTACAGGATAATGTTCCTGCTGTAGCAAACTGTCTCAAATTAAGATCCTACATCTGTAGATACATCCAACCATACACACTAATTTGAACATGCACTGATAAATACACAATTACATTCTTGTTATTATCATCTATATTATAACACTGTAAGCAACTTAACTGCCGATTTTCTTCATTTTAGGCACAAAAGAAACGCGTCATCCTCTTACATGCCACTGGCCATTTAATATTTTGTTGTGTTTTGTATTTTTGTTTATTTTCCCTGTTGTTGTTTTTGGAATGCCATGATAGCTAAGGGAGATCATGCTGTCACAATGCATATGATATAGGCATTTCTAGGACAATTTTGAATCCGTAGAATGACTACATTACCCTATAGGGTCCCCTGTAGCTCAGTTGGTAGAGCATGGCGCTTGCAATGCCAGGGTTGTGGGTTCGTTTCCCACGTGAAGTAGTAGGCCACATAAGCTCACAGAACGGACTGCCGAGTGCTGAAGCGCGTAGCGCGTAAAAATCGTCTGTCCTCAGTTGCAACACTCACTACTGAGTTCCAAACTGCCTCTGGAAACAACGTCAGCACAAGAACTGTTCGTCGGGAGCTTCATGAAATGGGTTTCCATGGCCGAGCAGCCGCACGCAAGTCTAAGATCACCATGCGCCATGCCAAGCGTCGGCTGGTGTGGTGTAAAGCTCGCCACCATTGGAGTCTGGAGCAGTGGAAATGGGTTCTCTGGATTGATGAATCACGCTTCACATCTGGCAGTCCGTCGGACGAATCTGGGTTTGGCGAATGCCAGGAGAACGCTACGTGCCCCGATGCTTAGTGCCAACTGTAAAGTTTGGTGGAGGAGTAATAATGGTCTGGTGCTGTTTTTCATGGTTCGGGCTAGGCCCCTTAGTTCCAGTGAAGGGAAATCTTAACGCTACAGCATACAATGACATTCTAGACGATTCTGTGCTTCCAACTTTGTGGCAACAGTTTGGGGAAGATCCTGTTTCAGCATGACAATGCCCCGATGCACAAAGCGAGGTCCATACAGAAATGGTTTGTCGAGATCGGTGTGGAAGAATTTGACTGGCCTGCACAGAGCCCTGACCTCAACCCCATCGAACACCTTTGGGATGAATTGGAACGCAGGCTGCGAGCCAGGCCTAATCGCCCAACATCAGTGCCCGACCTCACTAATGCTCTTGTGGCTGAATGGAAGCAAGTCCCCGCAGCAATGTTCCAACATCTAGTGGAAAGCCTTCCACAAGAGTGGAGGCTGTTATAGCAGCAAAGGGGGTACCAACTCCATATTAATGCCCATGATTTTGTAATGAGATGTTCGACGAGCAGGTGTCCACATACTTTTGGTCATGTAGTGTGCTTATTCTACTGTATTTGAGACTCATCTCACCTTCATGTTGTTCAGCTACCCCTTCATGTTGTTCAGCTACCCCTGCATGTTGTTCAGCTACCCCTGCATGTTGTTCAGCTACCCCTTCATGTTGTTCAGCTACCCCTGCATGTTGTTCAGCTACCCCTGCATGTTGTTCAGCTACCCCTGCATGTTGTTCAGCTACCCCTTCATGTTGTTCAGCTACCCCTGCATGTTGTTCAGCTGCTCCGGCATGTTGTTCAGCTGCTCCTGCATGTTGTTCAGCTACCCCTGCATGTTGTTCAGCTACCCCTGCATGTTGTTCAGCTACCCCTGCATGTTGTTCAGCTGCTCCGGCATGTTGTTCAGCTACCCCTGCATGTTGTTCAGCTACCCCTTCATGTTGTTCAGCTACCCCTGCATGTTGTTCAGCTACCCCTTCATGTTGTTCAGCTACCCCTTCATGTTGTTCAGCTACCCCTGCATGTTGTTCAGCTACCCCTGCATGTTGTTCAGCTACCCCTTCATGTTGTTCAGCTACCCCTGCATGTTGTTCAGCTACCCCTTCATGTTGTTCAACTACCCCTGCATGTTGTTCAGCTACCCCTGCATGTTGTTCAGCTACCCCTGCATGTTGTTCAGCTGCTCCGGCATGTTGTTCAGCTACCCCTGCATGTTGTTCAGCTGCTCCGGCGTGTTGTTCAGCTGCTCCTGCATGTTGTTCAGCTACCCCTGCATGTTGTTCAGCTGCTCCTGCATGTGGTTCATCGACTGCTTTTATTCTTTCAGTAGGACCAAAATGTCACCCCAAGAGGAAATCAGGAGGTCAACAGATTGAGATAAAGAAAGAGGCTTCACACTATACCCATTGGACCATCTTTGTTTCTTTCTCCCTTAACACCAATCGTATTAGGAAAGCCCCTTTGTGCAGATGTAAAGTGTTATTTAGAAAAGCCTTACCTTGACAGACACCTTTGGATTGATGGGATGTCTTGCTCACTGATGGAAAAATGTGAGTCAGACAAGAGGACAAAACCGGAAATGGGAATATTTTTAGTAGCATATCCAGAGACCAAAAACCTGATTGCAGGAGGGGGGAATCAAATCATTCATTTTTTATGAAATACCGTTAAAAGAATAACA